GGCTGGAGGTGAAGATGCCGGTGCAGGCACTCAGGAAAGCTGGTGCAGCCACAAGCCCGTGATGGGGACAGCGCTGGGGCATCCGAGGGTGCCTGGGGATGCCCTACGTGTGCTGGGGTGGGGGGCCCGCAGTGAGACCTTGGCTTGCCCTGCTCCGGCTGCCCATTGCTGGAGAGCCGGGCAGGATTTCGCCTCCGGGGAGCCCGTTTTCCTGCCACCCCGGCGGGGCGGGCTGCAGGACCGGCAGGGAGCAGAGTGTGGCTGATACAACGCAGATACGGAGCTGCAGCCGAAGCGACGGGAGCTGCCTCCCGCCTGGGTTTCTCTGCTGTGGATGGTTTCCAATCGATCCTGCCCTCTTGCTGCTGGGAACCCGTCCCTCTCGGGAAGGGGAAGCACGGCACTTACCAGAATTTGGGTGATCGCTTTCCAGCACTCTGGACCCGGTGCCAAGGTCAAAGTAAATCGCACGTGGCCGGGCGCTGCCATGAGAAAAGCCTGCGAGGGAGCAGGAGGGAAATGCAGCGCTGGCAGGAGCCTGGGGGGCTCGGTGGGGCAGTCTGCTCCCGCGTACCCTCTCTTCTGCGCTCTGGAGATGCTCAGCAGCCCTTGGAGCCTCCCCCACCTCCTCCTGCAGTTACGGGGCTGGAGACCCCAGACAAACCAGCAACAGAGCTGGGGTGAGAGCCGGAGCATCGCTGTGCTCTGACCCCCATCCCTGGGGACCCGCTCAGCCTTTGGGGATCCCGGGGTGGAGAGATGTGCTGTGACACTCTGCTCAGGCCCCCCGAAACGGGCTCGGGGCTCTCCTGCCTGTGCTCCGTGATCCCCTGCAGTGCCAGTAGCTCTCGTGAAAAGGCAGAACTCGTGGATTTGTCCTGTCCCGCCTCAAAATACCGGCTCAGCTGTTGGAGCTGGTGCCCCACGCGCGATTCCCAGCCGAGCCTGGCTCGATCCCGTTGCCACAGGGTTTTTTTTAACCTCTAGTGCAGCAAGGCCTGGGAGGAAGCTGCGGCTGCAAACGTCTTGGTTCCCCTGCGTGTTTGGAAGCGGGTGCGCAGCTGGTCACTGCGCGGACCGGGTGTGCCGGCACCTGCCACCAGCTGTTCCCCGGCGGGAGCTGGCGCGGCAGGGGCTGTGCCAGCTCCGGCGCTGGGGCTGGCTGTCGTGATGCAAACCCTCGCCCTGGCGATTCGGCAGGGCGCGTGCCCTCACGCCGGCTGGGCTGGGAGGGAGGCTGCAGCGTGCTCCGACGCGCCCGGTGAAACCCTTCCTCTTGGGAGACCCCTCTAATGCCCCTACGGGGGGAACAGCAGTGGTGTGAAGCCCAACCCTTATTAGACGGCAGAGAATCCCCGCAGGAGAAGCGTCTTGGCTGTCGCCGAGGCCGTCGGGGGCTGGTGGCCGTGCCAGCGCCCGTGCTGAGAACAGCCCGTCCTCCTCCGGACGTGCCGGGGCTTCTGGCTGGGGTGGTGGAGCCGGGCC